ACCGAAATGACTGAGTGGTAAGTATGGCAATGATCCTCAATAGCAATCAGTGCTTCATTGTACATAGCGTCGCTGAATGTTATTGTTCGTGAACGATATTGATGCATTATATCATCAGTCATTGAATCTTTGTGATTATCCCGCAATGTCTCTGCTCGGGCTGGGAAACATGTAGTCAACACTATAGCAAATAGTAGACGAATTTGTATTGCTGTTCAGTGCTGCTTCAGAAAGTATATATTCCCACTGGTTGTCGTCTTCCGGCAAGCCGAGTTCAAGGCATGCATCTTTATACATTGGATACTGTTATCCATTCACTTTACGTATGTCTTGAAATGACAATGTGCCAGTGACATTAACCAATAACAGTCGAAGATAAAAGCACTCAGTCTGACTTGGATTGACTGTAAATACTCGCCCCACAGTGTTTGATTTGAATAAACTAGAACAGGCATCAATCGGTGTTACTTGCTTGCGGGGCAACCTTTTTTTTTTTTTTTTTTTTTTTAGCTCATGTGAAATAGCGTGGTATTTCTGAATAGAGTAATGTTCGTGAAAAAGTACCAAAAGCATCCGTACGATTACACAATTAAAATTCGGTGAGTGCAGTTTTTGGTGGATTTATAGCACGATCAATCGCTGTCTCGTTCGTGAAAAATACGCACTGACCGTTTTCAAGATGGACGGCTGAACGAATAACTGCTGCATCCCGTTCATGAATTGGGAAACTAAAGATACGCCAAACAACTTCATTGAAGCTGATGTACCGGCCAATTTGGTAGAGCGTTCACTGGAGGAGCATTCGCATTGGTTTATTTCAACTCGAAATACAGCCATATCACTGCCTTTATTCACATACTTGCAAATGCATTTGATGCTCTTCACTGAACTGCAGAACTCAACATTAATATGAGCATTGAATGTTTTGCTCAGCAGAGGCGAATATGGCACCACCCAACGATTGTCAGTGTCAATGTCTGTGTTTTTGATATTTTTTATAAATGATTCTCCGCCATTATCGGGATTTCTTCGACGATATATTGGACATTGACATTTGTGATCGTATCGTTAGTGAAATTTTTAGGAAAACTTTTGGTACATTTCCTATACCGCATGGGCCATGAATCATGTTTTCTGTAGCAATATCAAACAGCAATCGATCAGTAGACGGATTTGGAATTTCCGCAGAAATTATACTATCGATTTCTTCAGGACGGATTTTGTCGATTAACCGAACCAAAATGTGTGCATGAGGTAATCCTCGCTTTTGCCATTCAACCGAATACATCCAGCAACGTGTGGGACCGAATACATGTAATTTTGTAATGAAACTTATTAAAGACTTTAATTTTTGTCTGAACACACGTGCTGTAATGTCATGACGATGTATTGCATTTTGGCAGGCAATAGCAAAGATGTAATCTCCGGCCATTTTGGATTACATGTGAACGTGATAAATAAACACGGTCTTCCATATTCGCACGATGAAAGTCAGAAGCACCCTGTATATATTCTTGCATATGACGTGAACTGCCTATGTACGATGATGGTAGAATGACAGAGGTACCAATTTCGGCGGCGTCGGCGTTGTTGACAATAGCGTTTCGCAAGTGAAATGTATTCTTCGGCACACGCAGCTTTTTGTTGATTATATCGCAAGTATCGTAGTTGTTCGCTCTCTATCTTCACGTACATGTCGACCATGAATTGTTGAACAAAGCTCACGACATCGTAGAAATGACGTTGTCTTGACAACGTCTAATCATCAACCGATACGCATAATAATCCTTCGAGCTAACGTTCTTGTTTGTTTCGGCTTCCTGTAATAATATATTCATAAATATTAATTCATATTAATTAAGTTTAATAAATTAAGTTTTTGTTAAATGAGTAATGATCAGGTTCATAATGAATGAAGTACCTGTTACGGGATCTCGTTGTTTAATATTTATGCAATATCCGTGTTGTTCCTTCTAGAACATTAGCGGATATTTGAGAGCGTCATATGAACGGTGTGTATCAGCAATGAACTGAAGATTATTATTTCTTCTACGAATCACGATTTCTCGTGTAGCTGTACAATCGCCAACCATGATTCCAGCAACGTCGTCAACAACAGGTGCATTGAAAATTTACGAATGTGCTCTCCAGCTGGTGTTTTAGCAGGATTGATGGCAATAGCGTGACTATCACTTTGTAATTTGTGCATGTGGGGTGATTTGAATATTTTCAACAATTCATTGTGCTCATTCAATAGAGCGTCCAGCTCACCGACGATGCGTCTGGCAAAAAGTGAATTGAGGTTATTGTAGCCATAATGTGCATCCACGCGATTGGCAAGTGCGCTTCCTGAATCCTCACCGCCCATAAAGTAGATCCGTAAAAATTTATGTGGTTTGTTTGATATTGGCAGCAATGAGCCCACTTTGTGATAAATTTGGCTTTTGATTTTGAATGTTTAATTGAATTTTTGACCATTTGCAGCATTATTTTAAACTATTTCTGTTGTTCTGAACTATGTCATTTGGAACATGAAGTGACTATTCGAATTGAATTCAATAACAGGTTAGAATATAGATCCGTGCTGGTAAGTAAACCGCTTAGTAGTTCAGGTGGTGTATCAATTTCAGGTAGTTTCACCTTTTCTGATGCGCAACACATCCCGACTGGCTAATTTTTAAATTTAAGAGCATTTCAATGCGGGTATTCCTTGTCTATAGCACCAATTACCACTTTTGAAAGAGCATAATATTGAATATCGGGCTCGAATGCGGACGCAGGAATCAATCAGATATAAATGATCGATGTACCTGTTGACGTTGTTGGTCATTTGCTGTGCGTCTATTAACTATGAAATGGCGTGCTTGCTTTTGTTCTAATCTTGTTTGTTCATTTCGTTCAGTTCGTGCATCTTCTGATTCTGCTTGACGCAACTGCGCCATACTCACACGCACATCAGTATTATCTTCCTGGATTAGTTCTTCTGTTCTTTGGGCTCTTCTATTTCACATGTCTGCAGCTCTACTTGTTTGACGGCCCAAATTAGACCCTTTGCGTCTTGTTGGCATTGTTCACTGTACAAAACACATAAATAGAACAAATTCAATTACTTAATGATGAAAAAAACAGTATAGTAATAATGTATTTATTTTCTTTGATGTATACTACATTTAGTGTATATCGTGTATATTTTCTTTTATTATGTTACCTACCTTTCATAATATTTTTCTTTTAAAATGGTGCTCACAAAATGTTGCCAGCACTGACTATAATATTATAGGTACGTTTAACAATAAACATATTAATAAATAATAAATAAAAAAAGCCTGAAAAGTTTCAGATTTTAAATTACGTTTAAAGGGGCGTTTTTTTAACGTTTTGTGTGTTACCTTTATTTATTAAATATCATGTTCTTTGCACTTAAACGATAAAATTCAGTTCAATAGCAATGTTGCTAAAGAATTTTAAAATGAGCCTATCTTTAGAACTTCCGATACACAGTTCCGCGCGCTGGAGATAAAAAGGGTTTTTTCCCCCGTAGAGTGTTGCCATTGCTCACTTTTAAATCGTTGAGTTTGTTACTAAAAAATTCGTTAAAGGTTTACAAAATATGAAATCGATCATAAAACAAATTCCAAATTTAAAATTTGGTCTTTCACATGCCCATATTCGTAGGAGGATTACGTCATTCAAAATTCGATGGCTCTATGTACCGTTGTTTTATCACAATGCGAGAAATATACATATATTTATGCAGATTTTTTATTATTTATTTTATACCTTATCACTTAGGGGTATGAAAAATAGATTACGACCGATTCTCAGACCTACCGAATATACATATAAAATTTCATAAAAATTGGTCAAGCCGTTTCGGAGGAGTATTATTACAAACATTGTGACACGAGAATTTTATATATTAGATAATCTTTAAAACAAAGTTCCAAATATTGCAATACTATTGCGAACTCTTCTTATAATTTTCATGAGTGTTAAACCTTGCGATAAGAGTTTTCTAAATAAAATTATTTAAGAAGTATTTAAAAACGACCAATGTTTCTTTTGCAGTTAAGAAATCTTTCAACATTACCTACATAACTGCAGCTAGAGAAAAAAGAAGTGGAATAACGATAGGATTTTTAAAACGTTGAAATGAACCTTTTTTTATTAAAAAAATATAAAATTTTAATTTATTTCTATATATATCATTCTAACAATTTTTAAAATTCTTTATTTGTTCGTACATCAAGAGGGTCGGCAGATTCAGAGACTGCCCAAGGAGGCAATTTCAAAGACCGCTCCTGACGGCAAAAGCTCTAGCTACGCCACTTATAACTTTGTCATTACAAATATTTATGCTACGGCTTAGTACTGCTTTATCACAGACTTTACCCCATTTTGTACAAATTTCGCGGATAAAATAACTAAAAATACCTTCCCTTCAGGTTATTCTGAAAATTCAACCACTGCATTTTGACCGGCTTATTTGTCCGTATCTATCTCGAGACATTCGTCATCCACGACATTTTTTTGTTTGGAAAATTTGTTTGTGATCCTAGGGGTTTTGTGAACCAAGGTTCTACTGTAGTTGAAATAGTGAATATTGCCTTTTTCCCGAGTTTCTAACTGGATTTATTAGCCCCGCAATCAATTAAAAGACGTTTTGTATTTTGCTTCCCATCACTGAAATATTTAGGCCACGTATGCAATTCAGCACATTACTTATGAGTTGGAATATTAAGCTACAATAAGAGTATCAAAAAATGTACAAATTTACGTTAAATATCTGCTAAACTAAATAGTTTTGGCGATAGGAGATATATTATTTAAATCGCAAAATTAAACGAAGTGGTTGACCTTGAATGATACCAAAATTACTTCGTCATTAATTCAGCAAAAGAATAGAGTCCTCATTTTCCTCGTTCCAAAATTTGCAATTACATTTTGCTTGTATCGAAATTTCTGAATGTAATTATCATTCTACAGGAAATTTTTGAAGGACTTGCAGACGACGTTTATATAAGTAGATATTCATTCTGCCCAGCAAAGAAAACTTGTTCATAAAATTTTGAATCCGTGGATCCCTTTCAAATGGTCCCTTTCGTTTTCCCGGCTACCTGACCTTTAAGTTTACTCTTTGCTTAATAAAGGTAAGAAAATATTTTTAAGTATATGAGCTGTTCATATTTCACTACATAAATTGTTGGAATTCTAACGTTAGTTTACAAATTCTTTTGCAAACTTTAACTTCACGAGTCCGTTTTGAAATGATGAATGCTTTATGAAAGTGATAACCATTAAATTTAGATATTTTATTTCATAGAGCTTAAGAAAGTATTTTCGTATATATGAGCTTTTAATATTTCACTATGCAAATTATTAAAATCTCGAGTTAAATTTACAATTTTTTTTTGTTTTTTTGTTTTTTTGTTTTTGCAAAATCAATGTGTTCGGGGATCCCTTTGACCATGACATATATTTTACTCGACCTTAGTTATTAGATTTATACTTAACATAAAATAAAAAAGTATGTTATTTTGCAGAATAAAATCATAAGGATATAAGCCCTTTTTGAAAAATTAATTTAAATAAGGCAATAATGAAAAATATTGTGATTGTTTCATTCTTTTTAAAATTAAAACATATTTATTGCTTTTACCACTGGCCAATCAATATACGCATGTGATGTTTTCTGTTCAAAAATTCGATAGTGAGTTTTTGGATGAAAAAGGACGAATGAACGCGTTTTGGCTACTTTCACAATAATGTCTGTCTGTGTATATGTATGCTCACCAGCGGAGCGGTAATGTCGCTGAACACTGGTAGTTCGGTCCGAGGTTCGAATCCCGCGAACGGGCTGGCTGCATGGGTGTTTTCGTGGTTTTCCCCATGTGTAACGTGTATACGAGCCAGTTTCCCTAAAGAAAGTCCTCCACGAATGGCATCCCTCCCCTTAGGCAGATAGCCCTAGTGTGCTTTGCCATAATTAAATACACCACGCCACCTGTGTATATGTATGCGAAGTTTTTTTTTCGTCCATGGGAACTCATATCACACTTCGAAAAATTTCCATTTTCCGTATTTAGGTTTTTTGCATTCACATAAAGAGTTAATTAGAGTTTCGGTAAAACTGGACAACCGGAAGTGGTACTTTACAGGAAGCCCATAACAGTTTTTAATGGACAACCGGAATTGGTATTTTATATGACGCCCATAACAGTTTTGAAATGAAAAGTTTATATTAATATAAAATCCAAAAATTTCAATTTTAGTATTAAAGACTTACTATCAGTGGGAACAACTTACTGAACTTCGGCTAAAACTGATAAACCGGAAGTGATACTTTACTTGAAACTCTGAACAGATTTTAGTTAAAAAATGCATTATGATGTAAGCCAAAACTTCTCAAATCTCGTAGTTAAAACTCGTGTATGGATATACGATGCATATGCAAATACGATTATGAACAACGTATTAGATTTTGACTTTATATATATATATATATTTCCGGTTTATCATATATATATATATATGATAAACGGAAATGGTACTTTACTTGAGACTTTCGATAGAAATACAGATTCATTATAATACGATTTTAATTAAAAATAATGCAACACAGATTAAGGCTGTTTCTATTATATTCAGACATGATATCTATTTATATCAAGCTGTAGAAAAGAAAGATTTTTATAATAACATTTCATTTGCAGAACTTTTCATCTCTTGTAATGCAGGCATGTTACCAAAAAAATGCACTTTTCGTTCTCTTGCGCTACTGATGATGACGAGGCATAAGAAAAAAAAGCAATTTCAACAACACGTGCTGTTATTATTATTACTGATTCTGGAAAGCATTGTAGTCACTATTCAGCTGCCATTCCAAAAACTAACAAGCACTGTTTACTGATATCTAAATATCGCTGGGAAACACGTGCAGATATAAGTTGAATTAATTTAGATTTATTTATGCTACAGAAATAAGCTTTCCCTTGATAGTTATTTCAGCCTCTTTTAATACGATAGTTAAGAATGTTTCCCTTTTCAGTCTTTTCATTCAAAGTAAAATCCTAGGTAAGTGCGATAGAAAGTCACGTGAGTATGATATATGTATAAAATGATGTCACAATAACGCTTCAGCCCTTAAATTAGTGCTTAAAATAAATTAATTTCACTGGTGATTTATTGGTAACACCTGATACATAAGACAAGATGTTTTTAAATTCTGATTACAATTCAGTATTATTATTATTTTGAAATAGGATCATGTCGATTCCTTAAGAATAATCACGGCTGAAATATTTGGAGAATTCTAAATCTTGAAATCAATGCAAGCGAAATTTGAAACACTGAAAGCGAAAAATTAAAACATTTTTGAGGATTTGGCTAGCATTAAATCTGTATTAAATATACAGTGCTCCAAAGAACCTTGGAAATTATCAGTAATACTGCTATCACAGTTTTTAATAAAATAGATTAATTTTCAGATTTTTAAAAATGTTACTTTCATGATAGAAAAGAATATTACGCCGTGTATAGTTAAACGGATTTTTTTCAACCGCATCTGCCGAACAGATTTATTATATGGTACTAAACAAAAGATATGTCATGCTTTTCCGGCTGAAACACAGGGGGTTTCATATTGATCGGGACTAGAAAGAATAGTATGGTGCAAATTCTGTAACTGATTTATTAAGCCGAAACAGCGAAGGGGCGCTCATAGAACATCTACAAAAACTTGGATAACTACAGTTTCACAGTAAATTTGATTTAGTAACGTAAGGTAAGTACAGCGTTCACAGGTTTGCTTTCTTTCTGTTCTATTCAATATGGAACACCCTGCTATAGTTCGACCGCCTCATCCGCGACCATGAGTGCAAACACGCATGCGTTATTGGGACCGAATTATTTTCAAAATGGGGTGGAAGGATGGGGACTTTATTTCCCTCCAGTATATCTCTTTTCGTAGAAAAGAAGACCTTTCATGTCGCAGCAAGTATAATACCGCCCCTTTTGGACGAGTCTATGTGTTTTGGCAGAATGCCAACCAGGGTTGCGCTTCAGACGGTTGAACTATAATTCTTCTTTATGCACCTTCAGAAGCCTCCTTTTTGAGGTTTTACTTCTTTCACTCTTATTTTGGAATAATTTAACATACACGAATTTTACCCCCAATATCTTCCCACCATTTACAATGAAAAATTAAAAATAAAAAGCCTGAAATGTTACGATTTTTAATGTTTTCATCCAGAACATTTACTGAAGGGGAAAAAAAAATTGAAACGTCACGAATTTTTTGCCACCTCCAGAAAGCCTGAACTGGTAAAGCATATTTCCAACATTTTCTCACCATCTATAATGAAATGTTAAAAACAGAAAGCCTCAAAGATACGATTTTTAATGCTTCCATCCAAGAACATATGCAGAAGAGGAAAACAAACCTTGAAATGGCATGATTTCTGTTGTCACCTCCGGAAAGCCCGGAATGGGACATCACGAGAAATGACACAGAAAAAAGTAAAGATATGGCATTTGGTTCAAATTATATTTATTAAATATATTAAAACACTTAACTTTTTAATTAAAAACCAATTAAATTATATGTTACTCAAATGCTCCATAAAATGAAATTTTTAATGAAAAAAAATAAATAGTATGATTTGATTATATTGATATAAATTTAGAAAAGATAGTTTTTACAAATGGACAATGATGTCTAATTAAATATAAGCCCAAAATTCGTAGTACAGGTCTTTTTATTTATTGGAATAACAAAAATTTCGTTTACAACACTAAAACACACAAAATTCAAGCTACAAACGATCAAACGCGAGTTATTAAAGCTCGTTGTTATTTAAAACATGATATTGGCGGGAGATTTTATGTGCTGACCACATCAGTATTTTTTCTACTGGAAGGATGGTGTTATTGCATTGTCATGTGCGATTAAATATTCAGTGTTTGAAACACAAAAATTGAACCTCCTAGAAGAATTGATCGGTTAGGCACAACCTAAAATACATTTAGTTCAACAAACCAATTGTTAAAATTAAATTTTGAGGTTTATTAAAGCAATTATTAGTTAAAGTAGCTAATCATTTTTCATTTAGGAAGAGATTGCTAGATTATTCAAATTCCATTGAGGGATGAACAAGATGTTGAACATCTAGAGACTAAGAAAAGTCAATGTGGGATTAAGAATTTTAAAATACTTTTATTCTGCTACCTTCCTATAAATATAACGATAATAAATAATAATAAACCATAAAATGAAATTTTCTGTGGTGTCTTACTTTCCTTGATGTTCCAAGCGGATGATTTCATTCAGAACCCGGTTTATGAAACATAGGATTCTAATTAAAATCTCTTAAAACCTCTTATGGAGGCCGTTCCTTCTCTAATTCTTTTTAATGTAACATATATTACTCAAGGGAAATTACACAGAACGATCAAAAGGTACTGCATATAAAATCTTCAAAACCTGTGGAAGCTCCAAAATGTACATTAATGGCAAATTGTTTCCAATGGATGACACCATTAAACTGCTGTAAGCAATATATTCCTTGAAGTTTTATTTGCAGTTTAAGCCGTTAAATTTAAAAACAGTTTGTTTGATATAAGATAGTGATGAGATTTTCCCAAGTAGAAAGAATTTTTATGATTGAGTATTATTTCACAACAGATTAAATACATATAAACTTGATTGCGATGCCATCTTCTTTACACTCTTTATTTTATGATTGCAACATTTTATTCCAGTCGTCATCCATTTTGCTTGAAATTAGAAGAGACGGGCGGAGATTTCATTTTTATGTGAACACTTCTAGTTCTCGAAATCAGGAAGCCAAGCCGATAATCGCTGTTTCTTCAAGTTCACGAACATTTGTGAAGGTTTCTTTAAACTTTCAAAAATTTTCCTTAAGAATGCATTGCGAAGTAATGCACATTCATAAAAATTCTTTAGGGCTGGAAAAATCTCAACTCCCTCTTGCAGAAAACAAATAAATTCTAAAGGTCACAAACTGGAAGTTTCAGGTGGTAACAGTATATAACTTTTATTCATTAGAACAATTTTCTATGAATATCCTTTCTAGAATATCCGAAATTTTTGTAAATTTGGTGTGTGCGACTTTTGAGTTATCCGTATAAAATATTCTGCGAAATAGTTAATTATTTACTAAATTTCCATTAAACATTATTTAAACGAGAATGCATTTCACTTATCTATATATCTTGTTTTCATGTTTTGAGTTTGTTACGTTTTATGTAAAATATAAATATATTTATTTTAAATCATCTTAAACCATACTAAACTTACACATTCCTTTTTCCGTTGAGAAAATAAACTGAAATAAAGAGAAGAACCTGGAAATATTAGTATACTGATTTTAGTATAACCAACCTTAAATACACTGCTGGCCACCCAAATTGCAACACCAAGAAAGACAAGAGATTACAAAACAAAATTTATTTAGTAGATAACATGTTGACCAAGTATCAAATGATTAAATTTATAGACTTCTGTGAAGTGTGGTTCCTTCCAGAATCGAGTAGCCAGAGTAGCCGCCATTGTTTGGAGATCACCGCTTGCCACACGCCTTCGACATTGATTCCAAAGAGACTTTGGATGTGTTTTTGGGGTACCGCAGACCAAGCAGCTTCCACACGTTGCCAAAGTTGATCTGGTGTGGCAGCTTTGGGATGTAATCTGGGTCAATCGTTCAGCAACCATGGACCACATGTTTTCTATCGGCGAAAGATCCGCAGAGCGAGCCGGCCGGGGAAGGAATTCAATCTGGCCGATTGATGAAGAACCCTTGGAACAATGCGTGCCACGTGTGGTCGCGACCACACGTCGCACGCATTATCCTGTTGAAATATGGCTGTGGGCAAAGCCCTGAATGGTAAGGAAAGGACAACTTGACTCCAACACCTTGGAGATGTAGTTCTGGCTGTTTTGTTAAAGTACCGGCAATGCCTATTAGAGGAATGCGAGAGTGATAACCAATACCGATCCATACCATAATACCCGGTGCAGGATCAATGTGGCGGTGCATAACGCAGCTGTTCAGCATTCTCTCTCCGCGGTGTCTTCCAGACTCGTCGAATCCGGCCATTGTGGTGTTGCAGACAGAAACGTGTCTCGTCAGTAAAGACAATTTCATTCCATTCTACCGTCCACATCCTTCTTTCATCGCACCATTGGTGGCGGAGACGTCTGTGGTTCTACGTTAAGGGTAGACGAAGCAATGGACGTCTTGCGGACAGACCACTCTGCTGTAAACGGCGTCGAATAGTACGCGCAGTTACTGGATGATGCGTTAGAGCCTGAATGTGTTGTGCTATGGTTCGTGATGTGATTGAGCGATCTGTCACTGCCATGCGCACAATTTTTCTGTCATCACGTGAAGTGGTGCACTGAGGTGGATGCGATCAAACACGTCTGTCCGTCGCACCCTCCTGCATCCAACGGTCACATATCCGCATTACAGTTGTTTGGTTTCGTCCAACACGACTATAGATTTCTCTGAAAGATAATCCACACTCTCGGTAGGCCACTATCCTTCCTCTATCGAACTCGGATACTTGATCAAACGATGATTGCTGTTTACTACGAGGCATAATTGATCGTTTTTTTTTTTTTTTTTGAAAAAAGCACAAGAAAACACAATTGCCGAAAGTGAAATCATCGAAAACTCCAAATCTTAAATAGCGCTTTGAAATGGCGCCACAGGCGCGCGTGATGTACGTCTGCGATAAAATTCTAATCATTTGCATATCTCACCTCCGCTAATTTCATGTTATTTGCACGTTTCCTTCAGGGTATTGCATTTGCGGTGGCCAGCAGTGTAGCAAAATACAGTAGAACCTCGATTATACGATATAATTTGGGCCGCAACTACTTCGGGTAATTGGACAATCGAATTAATTAGTATTAATTATTTAGATTCCCACATTTGAAGTCATTATTGGCTCTAGCATTATATAAGTATTTAATGCTATCTAAGAATGCTGAAAAAAAGTTGAAATGATGCACTTAATAAGCGGTCAGTATTTTTAGAATGGAAAGGGAAATAACCAAATTGAAAAGAAAAGGTGGTATTGCAATTAAAGGTAGTAGTTTATTTTACCTATTTTTATCTTATATAAAACTACTAGACAGAACATAGATCTTATACAGAACTACACTGAAAAGTTAAAACAGTATAATAACCTACTCAATAATGCGTTGTGCGACATTTAGTCTGCAAAACAGCTGCAACTTGGATTAATACCACAATTTCTGGGTCGATGACTGGAGACAGTTTGAACCAAGTGTCTAAGAAGCGGTCACCCAAAGTCGAGATGTTTCGAAATGGTGGTGTTTGAGGTCTGAGCTGCCGCTCCATGCCAAATGTGCTTTATCGGGTTAGGATTCGGTGAGTTAGGTAGCCAGGACATTAATTGGAATTCATCCTTATGCTCCTCGAACCACTCCAATTCAATTCATGTGACATGGGGCATTATCCTTCTGGAGGATTGCATTTCCATTTGTAAAGACATAATACACCGCCACCAGCCTGTGCATGACCTGCTGGACAAGAGGGGATCAGTTGTTTGCTTGAAACACGGCGTACCTTGATACGCCCATCAATGTGATGAAAGAGATATCATGATTCATCCGACCAGGCAACTGTCTTCCACTTATCCTCGATTCAGTTTCGATGTTCCCGAGCCGTAATTGACAATGACGCTTGGTCAACAGAGGCACACGAGTGAGACGTCTGCTGCGCAGTTCCATATCAAACACTGCCCCTGAATTGTGTGTTCCAAAACAGTTGCACTTGAATCGCATTGTATTGGGCTGTTAGCTGAGCCACTGTGTAGCACCTAGTTTGCTGTATCAATCGGGACAGTCTCGACGTCCTTCTCCTTTCATGACTTGTGGACGTCCAGCATCTTGACATTTACTCCTGGTTTCATCGCCATTAATCCACTTTGCATAAATACAAACAATGGCAGATCGTAAATAACCTACCAGTCATGCAGTTTCGGAGATATTCGTTCCGAATCTTCAAACCATTACAATATGCCCTCCATCAAATTGACTTAGATCAGCAACCTTTCTCATAATTCTCATAACTCGAGTGAAGTGCAAGAATGATTCCTTACATTCTCCAATTAAATATCATACCTACTTAATCACATGCCCTCCATATCATTGAGACGAGTTCATTTGAAAATGTGGGGATGGTCATAATTTTTTGGCTTCTCAGTGTATAAAACTGTAAAAACAAATTATTTATTTGTTAAATACTTACATGCTAAGTTGTCAAGAATTTCAGTGTGAGAGCTTATTAATTAATAATAATTCCATTATTTGATATGAGCAACTTTTAAATAATAACTCATAACAAAACCGTTCAAAAGATATATGTAAAAATCAGAAAGAAGGTCATGCATACTTCCATTTCTAACAATAAATTTCTTTGGACATCCTCGGGGTTAGCAACTTCGTAACGTTTAATAACAGAAATACGCGAAAATTTCCAAAACGAACACTTTCTGGATATCGGCAGAATGAAACTTAGTGAGTTACTTTGCGAATGACTATTTAAAAGTTGAATTCAAAAACTTGCAGAAACGACCGGAATACGAATTAAATAAGGTAGCAAAAATTATCAGGTAATAAATTTAAGAGTATTATACATGAAATCATAGGTTAAACATGTATTTTTGTTCTCTTTTACATACGAAGGGAAAAAAGGGTTTATTTATTTATTTTTAGATTAGCAGTCATGGCATTTAAGAAGCGAATTGCAGTCATTGGTGGTGGCATAGCAGGTATCTTGTCCATCGCCATCTTGAAAGAGGAAAACCTGGAGCCCATTTGTTTTGAGCAAACAGACAAACCAGGAGGCACTTGGAATTATAGAGAAGAATCAACGCCCGGGGTTGCATCCATAATGCCGACTACTATCATTAATCACAGTAAAGAAATGGGAGCTTTTAGTAATTTTCCGCCACGAGAAGAGTACAATAACTACATGAGACATAACGAGATGTATCAGTATATCACAGAGTACTACACAAAGCATGATTGCTTGAGACATATTCAGTTTAACATGAGGGTCACTTGTGTTAAGCGTTCTGAGGATTATGATGAAACAGGACGATGGGTGGTCACTGCATGCAATACGATTACAGGCGAAGAGTTTACTGACATCTTCGATGGAGTGATGGTTTGCATAGGCCACGTTAATCGGCCTAAAATTCCAAAATATCCAGGCCAAGAAGATTTCAAAGGTAAAATCTTGCACACGCATAGTTTGAAAGAAGTAAACGGATTCAAAGACCAAAACGTTCTTGTTGTTGGAATGGGTTGTTCTGCTCTAGATGCTGCTGTGGCAATAAGTGATGTTGCTAAGCAGGTAAAAATTTCTCTCTTTACCTTTAATTTCAATGGTGATTTTTAAATTGTATTCTATACTTTTATGTTTTAAATAGGGCTATCATTATATCTAAAATTATTGCAATCTGCAAATGGAAATTAAAACGAATATTTGATCATATTTTAAATTCCCAAATGAAGTTTAATTTTAAAATGTATCAAAGTTTCCAACACCAAACGTCCATTAAAATTGAAAATATGTTATAAAGGCTTAACAATAAATCTTAGAGCTATTTCCAATACTTAGAAATCATTGTTTGATATGGATATCGAAATTTTTAATATGTTGCATATTAGAGTAGCACAAGTAGATCTGTATTTAGACTTCTTCACAACTTTAAGAAGTCTAAACAGAAGTGCAATATTACCTAATTTCTATATCCAAACATATTTAATATTCTTTACTTAACACGATAATGATTACCGAAGTTTTTGTCCAACATTTAAATAAAAAAAATTACATTGGCAATTTTAAACCCTTTCTTTTAAAATTTAATACTATCACTTTATCTTCAGATAGTTTACATTTCACGATTCTTCGCAACACTTGCTAGCACTAAGAAAACGTAAAATGAAAAAAAAAAAAAAAAAAAAAAAAATGATGTTAAAATGATTTAATATGAACCGACATAAGACTTGCTCGGCATAGAAAATGTAACATCATGAAGATTGAGTATAAAGGCCCGTTTCCACTATTGCGGTTATAAGGTATTTCTCTCGTCTTCCTAGTGTGCCTTTATTGTGTAGTGGTTCTGCACACTGGGCGGGTACTTCAGAGGTCCGTGGTTCGATTCCCGGCGAAGGCGATTGTTCATTTTTCATCTTGCCTGTTTCCAAAAAATATCTAATGTCTCTACAATGGCGCCCGAACTAAAAGGGTGTTAGATAATGATTCTCCTCACCCAGGATTTGGTGACTAGGGTCCCCTAAAAACCCCAGTCGCCCTTTAAAAGTGGGAGTATATAGGATATTTCTCCCGCCTTCCTAGCGTGCCTTCGTGGTGTAGTGGTTATGCACACTGGGCCGGTATTCCAGAGGTCCGTGATTAGATTCCCGGCGAAGGCGATTGCTCATTTTTCATCTGCCTGCTTCCAAAAAATACCTAATGTCTCTACACGGTTATTAACGCGTTCCGTATGCATTTCTCCAATCAGCGAGTAAAATTCATTTTGATTGACATCTGCTGTCCGTCGACGGATGACGGAACAGATGAAGTTCAAGGATGTTCAACTTCTATCCGTATGTCTGCGAAAGCTTTGGGGTCATGTGGTCAAAAAGGAGCAATCAGGTGTTGTCACCAAAACATAATGGCGATAGAAGTAGCAATGGAAAGGATATTGAGCTAAAAGTACTTATTTCTGAATTAACATTATTGCTAGATATCTTCGCGCTAAAAAGACAGCAATTAACTGAATTTAGTTAAAAAAAATAAGATAACTGCAACTACAGTACACTACCTCGCACAGAGCAGTGATTACTGTCAAGAAAATCAGGTACAAAAATATAATTCCAAGTCCATGAAGTAGCAAAATTTGTCCTGACAATTATTTCCTAGTTCTGCATACACATTTACTTTTAATAAAAATGAACGTCTGACTACTATATCAAACTGCTATAGCAAATCAGATAAGGCATTAAAGGATTTATTTTTGCCCCTTTGAAACAAGTAAAAACTAAAAACGTTATTTATAAATTCAATTTGATAGCCTTTTAAATATTCTATTGCATTAAAAAGCATTTTAAATTTGTATTTCTCTATTTATAAATATATGTTTTTGGCTAACACATATTTGTAAGCATCTTTCTTTTGGAATATACTTTTAGCAATCCATCTAACTTCAATCAAAACGCCACTTTAAAATTATGTTTTTGCAAGAAATGCCCTAGAAGCTGAAGAACAAACTCTGGTGAATTTTTTAGACGGTAGTACACGGAAACAGGACCAAAAAATTAGTTTTAATAATTCATTTACTTAATGATGTATATAAGCCAAAATTACATACCATGCTTGCATTATGCTATCCCCCCCTGTTTGCAACATTTTTAGTTTCGTGTTCCAATTCGATCTATATTTGTGTTTTATAATTTATTTCTATTATTATGCGCATTAAATATAACGTTTTACTTATGCTCTTATTTATTTAAATTTTGCCCTCAAGAATTTATTTTGAAAGTTATACTATACGAACTTAAAGTATACTCCCTGTATATATATATATATGTATATATTTTCATTTCACTTTTATGTGAATGTACATATATGTTCTGAAACTCTGGGATGTTTCCAGCTCTGAACTTTCACTACCAATTAACATAAACATTTTTTGAAAAACTTACTATAATAATTGCTTTAAAATTCAGTCCTCTCCAGCAGAAGCGCAGGAATGAATTAATTAAATATTTCCATTTTCTTTACCTAATGTATGTATTTATATATATAAAGAAGAGAAAACTTATCTTTATCTATAACTTCTATAAAAAGAGATATGAATTTAATATTTTATGGATTATTCATAAAACATAACTGCACATAGTGCATTTTAAGGAAACGAGATTTCTAATAAATTATCCAGCTATGAGCCTGAAGAAATTGATGCTAAAATTTTATACATCACTTGTTTTCTCCCAAAATTTAGGCTTATTTTAAAAGTATAAAATCTCACATGGAAGTGAGCGGTATAAAAGCACAGCAAATTTTGTGTAAATATTGTGAATCTTTCTTTACAGTTGCTCTGTATTTTTAAAGTACCAGCTATTTTTAAATGCGTTTAAATTTTTAATTTGTTTTATAGTAACAGTAAATTTTTGTTTTAATTATGTATTATTTCATTCATATTTAAGGCTTCTAGAAAGGCACAGAAATTTTTAAAATTACTTCAGCTTCTATGCAATTAGTGATGTTCATAATATGCGTTACAACCTTACTTATCTAAAAATTGCTAGGGTACTTTCACAGCTCATAAGCAGAAATAAAAATTTCCAATAACATGAAATTTAAGTGTCTTATGTATTTCCAATGAAATGTCAATAGCTTTGTATAATTTGCTCTACTTGGTTAGTGTTTAGGAG